CCTGACCTTGAGGTCAAGGCTCTGTGCAGGCCACTTGAGTTCATCCGACTAACACTCACTGTGAGCTAGGTGTTCCCATCCAACTCAATACCTGACCTCACAAATGCTTTTTTTGTTGGTTGAATGGGCACAAATTCCAACAGTTTTGTGGAAATCCTTCCCAGAAGAGTGGAGCTCCTTCTGCCAATCAGCTGCCACTAGTGAATTCCCTGCCTGTAGCTGCATGTAAGCAAAGGAAAGCAGTGCTATAACTGGCCTTATATGGCTACATGGCTACAGTTGGTCAATCACATTGACCTAATATAGTCATGTGGCCATATAAGGTCAATGATGTCAGCACAAGTTCAGCTGCAGGGTGGAGAATGCCCCAGTCCGCAGCTAATTGGGCAGGTGGCCCATGTCCCTTCCAGGATTGGAGGAGCTTGGCTTGGGCATTTTAGAATAGCGTAGGTCACGGTAATGTTGCTGCTTACCGTGAAAGAACCCCAAAAACACAAAGGACAGGCTGGGAGATATTCTTACCATTTTGCCTAAATGTAGAACTGGTCATGTCGTCATCGTCTTGTATCAGTTGCTCGTCTGAAAGACAAAATAAGTCTGCCTTGTTTTATAGCGTGTAAGTAGCTCTGTAGAGCCCTCCAATCCACAATCCATCACCAACACAGTGGAGTACTGTCCAGGATACTTTCTTGATTTGCAGTAAAAGTTTCGGGACAAGCTTTCCGGGGCCTACAGCCTTCTTCTGAGGTCCAAGTAGAAGTGGGTCGGCCCTAAAAGCTGGTCCTGCAAATGTAACTGTAAATGCAAAAAGTATCACGCAGTACTCAACTGAGTGCACTAATACGGATACAATCGCCTTCATACATCACCAGCAATCATTTCATGTGCGGTCTGGCTTTGCAATTTTAATATGAGCTCAAGTGTAATAATAATTCCATGTTAGCTAGAGTGAGGGACATCAGCCAAAGAATTCATGCAGCTCATATACAGTACATACATATACTGATCAGCCATGACATTATGACCACTGGCAGGTGAAGTGCATAACATTGATTATCTCATTACAATGACACCTGGAAGTGGGGGGATATAATACAATGACACCTGGAAGTGGGGGGATATAATACAATGACACCTGGAAGTGGGGGGATATAATACAATGACACCTGGAAGTGGGGGGATATAATACAATGACACCTGGAAGTGGGGGGATATAATACAATGACACCTGGAAGTGGGGGGATATAATACAATGACACCTGGAAGTGGGGGGATATAATACAATGACACCTGGAAGTGGGGGGATATAATACAATGACACCTGGAAGTGGGGGGATATAATACAATGACACCTGGAAGTGGGGGGATATAATACAATGACACCTGGAAGTGGGGGGATATAATACAATGACACCTGGAAGTGGGGGGATATAATACAATGACACCTGGAAGTGGGGGGATATAATACAATGACACCTGGAAGTGGGGGGATATAATACAATGACACCTGGAAGTGGGGGGATATAATACAATGACACCTGGAAGTGGGGGGATATAATACAATGACACCTGGAAGTGGGGGGATATAATACAATGACACCTGGAAGTGGGGGGATATAATACAATGACACCTGGAAGTGGGGGGATATAATACAATGACACCTGGAAGTGGGGGGATATAATACAATGACACCTGGAAGTGGGGGGATATAATACAATGACACCTGGAAGTGGGGGGATATAATACAATGACACCTGGAAGTGGGGGGATATAATACAATGACACCTGGAAGTGGGGGGATATAATACAATGACACCTGGAAGTGGGGGGATATAATACAATGACACCTGGAAGTGGGGGGATATAATACAATGACACCTGGAAGTGGGGGGATATAATACAATGACACCTGGAAGTGGGGGGATATAATACAATGACACCTGGAAGTGGGGGGATATAATACAATGACACCTGGAAGTGGGGGGATATAATACAATGACACCTGGAAGTGGGGGGATATAATACAATGACACCTGGAAGTGGGGGGATATAATACAATGACACCTGGAAGTGGGGGGATATAATACAATGACACCTGGAAGTGGGGGGATATAATACAATGACACCTGGAAGTGGGGGGATATAATACAATGACACCTGGAAGTGGGGGGATATAATACAATGACACCTGGAAGTGGGGGGATATAATACAATGACACCTGGAAGTGGGGGGATATAATACAATGACACCTGGAAGTGGGGGGATATAATACAATGACACCTGGAAGTGGGGGGATATAATACAATGACACCTGGAAGTGGGGGGATATAATACAATGACACCTGGAAGTGGGGGGATATAATACAATGACACCTGGAAGTGGGGGGATATAATACAATGACACCTGGAAGTGGGGGGATATAATACAATGACACCTGGAAGTGGGGGGATATAATACAATGACACCTGGAAGTGGGGGGATATAATACAATGACACCTGGAAGTGGGGGGATATATTACAATGACACCTGGAAGTGGGGAGATATATTACAATGACACCTGGAATGGGGTGGATATATTATAGTGACACATTGGAAGTGGGGGGGATATATTACAATGGAACCTGGAAGTGGGGGGTATATTACACTGGGACCTGGCAGTGGTGGGGGGATATATTACAATGGCACCTGGAAGTTGGGGGATATATTACAATGGCACCTGGAAGTTGGGGGATATATTACAATGACACCTGGAAGTGGGGGGATATATTACAATGGTACCTAGAAGTGGGGGGATATATTAGGCAGCAAGTGAACATGTTGACCCTGAAGGTGATGTGTTGGAAGCAGAAAAAATGGGCAAGCGTAAGGGTTTGAGTAACTTGGCAAGCTCCAAATTGTGATGGCTAGGCCAGGGTTTCTCAACTTTTTTTTCATTCATGACACCTTTTAAAATTATGCAAAATTTCGAGGCACCGAAGTCTTACATATAAAAAAAAAGGTAAATGTAAAAACCAACAGGGGACCCTGCCCCCACAATCAATACCAAACCCTCAACCTAGACAGGGGTCTGGTATGAACTTTATGGGGGGACAGTGGCATCACAAGGGGGGTGCAGCCCACACCCGGGTGACACCATTGGAGGGGTAACCCTCCCCCAAAAAGTCGGGCACTCGATCATGGACCAAGAGCCTGACAGTTGCTCGAGAGAGAGAGAGAGAGAGGAGGGGACCCGGCGGGATACCTTATCCTGCAGGGTGAACAGGGTCCTGGGTGGCCAAGGCTCATTGATGCACATGGGGAGCCAAGGCTTGCCGATGTAGTACAATCCAATAGAAGAGCTGCTGTAGCTCAAATTGCTGAAAGAGTGAATGCTGGTTGTGATAGAAAGGTGTCTGCACATACAGAGCATTGTAGTTTGTTGCGTATGGGGCTCTGTAGCCATAGACCAGTCAGGGTGCCCATGTTGACCCGTGTCCACTGCCAAAAATGCCTACAATGGGCACATGAGCATCAGAACTGGACCACGGAATATGGAATATATTGTATACATTGTATATACAGAATCTGCAGTGTCTTTCTAACTATCAAGTGAGAAATTAATTATACTCGGCGTATAAATATAATTTACAGTGTAAGTAATCTTTTAAAAACAAAACCGGTATGGAAAGCAATATGTAGGGTGCACCTCTGTTTGAAAATGCTCATTGCCTTGCTGGATCTGGTGTGAGACCTGAGGAACAAACCAGGAGCAAGCATGGAGCAAGCAAAGTCCAGACCCAATTACCTGAATACTTGTTCCAGGTCTAATGCTCAAAGTTTTGGAGCCACTGGATACCCATGTCAGGCAGCAGAAGAACAGATATAGACTAGCAGCCTATAGATATTCATTAAATGGAATGGGGAATCCTCTGTCATGCCTTATTGTTTCTCTGTTGGGGAGAACTGCTCCTGTGTGGTCACCAGAACACAAAGTGGAAGACATTTCTCTAAAACAAAGACACATAAAGACCTCTTGATGACTTTTAGGAGGGCCCTGCCCCTGAGGGCTTACAATCTACTAGGGAGGGGCAGGTGATTTGAGGAGGGAGCTGTGTGGGGATGAATTGTTTGAGAGCGTGATGGTTGAGCGGTTAGGTTGAGGTGGGATCGGCTTCCCTGAAGAGATGAGTCTTAAAGGAGAACTATGATGCGGGTGCTTTTCACTCACCTCATAGTTCTAGCCGACCTGTGACAATGAGACTGTCACAGGTCGCCTCAGTAGATCGGGAGGGGAGCGAACACATACCGGCGTTCGCTCACCTTTCGATCCTGTCACGGCTCTCTGCCGTGACAGGGGAGGGGCTGGATTCCCCCCTGCCCCGCTCCAATCCGCCAGCGCTGACTGGCGGATCGGACGGGGGAGGGGGCGGGTACAGCTGGCTCTGCCTCTAGATAAGCAGAGCCAGCTGTCACTCACGCAGCTGGGCAGATCTCAACATCGATGTCGGGATCCGCTCCGGCTGCGGCGTCTCAGTATACCGCAAGCTACAGCTCGCGGTATACTGAGCTTAGGGTGACGGGAGGACGCTAGTTTGTGTCCTCCCGTTACCCTAAGGAGAACTATGGGGAAAAGCCCTGACCCCATAGTTCTCCTTTAAGGGATCGCCTAAAGGCAGTCAGAGTGGGAGATAGATGAACAGTTTGGGGTAGAGAGTGCCATAGGATGGGAGAGGCTCTAGTGATGTCCTCGAGGCGAGCATGGGAGGACTTGACGAGGGAGCTGGAAAGCAGGAGGTCATTTGAAGAGAGGAGGGGACGGTTAGGGTGATACTTTAACACCTTTGATACCATAAAGAAGAACTCTTGTTCGGTTTTATTATCACCTGTGTCTAACTTGTGGAGAGTTCCCTTGACATTATGCCCTGGGGACCACACAGGAAGTGAGAAGAATCTCATCAGTGGAACACAAGTAGCAATAAAAACCTAACAGAGTTTCTAAACCTTCTCCATCCTGAAAAACCCATGTTGTCATTTCCATCCGGGTCCCCAGTGTATAGATTTCCCTTCAATTCTTGTGCCCTCGACCACAAAGGGAGTGAAGAGAAATCTCCCAGGCATGAACACCAATAAAAACTTGCTAAAACTAAAAAAAAAGTGTTGATGAAAATGGAAAACACTTTAAGGGCCGCGATGTTTCTCTTTGCAGTCCCAAAATCTCATGCAGACGTCTTCTGAAGATATTCTGAATGTGAGAATTGAAGGCCGATAGCCAAGTCAATATTATTTTTCACTTGTCGACATCATTTCGCTGGCACACTGAAGCATACATTTGGACTTGCCGCCAATAATAACAACATGACATCACCGGAGAGCTGTGTGTTTTCCAAATGTGACACTGGGAGGAAAGGAAAACTCCGACAATGATTTGATAATCCAATGGATTCATTCTATATGAGAAGAGTGGATACTGACTACAGTGGGAGGTAGAAAGTCCTTGGAAGTGTTATAGGGAATGTATGGTGGGTTTTGTGTTGATCTATTCTATTATAATTCTATATTGTAAATATGAAACATTAGATATGAACATGATGTCTTCTCATATCCAGCCACCAGA